ATAATCTTCTTCTTCTTCTTCTTTTTTTTTTTTTTTACAGAAGATCAGTTTAGTATACATTAAGTAAAGATTTCAACAGTTTGCACCCCCATAGAAACACAAAGTGAAATATACTGTTTGAGTACTCGTTATAGCATTAAGTCTCAATGTACAGCATATTAAGGACAGAGATCCTACATGAGGAGTAAGTGCACAGTGACTCCTGTTGTTCACTTCACAAACTGACACTCCTGTTTATGGCATCAGTAATCTCCCTATGCACCAGTCATGAGTTTCCAAGGCTATGGAAGCCCCTTGAGTTCTCCGACTCTTATCTTGTTTAGACAAGGTCATAGTCAAAGTGGAGGTTCTCTCCTCCCTTCAGAGAAAGGTACCTCCCTGAAGAATGTTTAAATGCCTGTATTCATTGTGGCTAAAAGAACAGTAGCCTGCATTCCACAGATTATTTCAAATTCAGCCATCAAACATTCATTAAATACTGGCTGTGTGTCAGTCCCTAAGATGAGTGTTGTGAATCAAAATATGAGTATACTTTTCACTTGTTGAACATTATGGTGAGTGGTGCATTAAGCATGTGATTATAAAGTAAATTGAAAGTATGTTTATTGCAAAAATTAAAGAGAAAAAAGAAAGATAGGTAGGAAGGGGGATAAGGAGAGAGGGAAGGAAGTATGGTTATCTTCTTAGAACTATATCTATGAAATACATGAAATTTGTTCTCCATTAATAAAATTTTAATAAATAATCATATAGTAAAAGAAAAAAGGATTTTGAGGAAAGAAAAGAAGGGAGGGATAATTTCTTTAAATCACGAACTCTCATAATAGAAACTGTATTATAATTCATATACTCTTGAAAATTACATTTATTAATAGCATTGTCTGTATTAATAAGGACATTATTTTGGAAAAATATGAGTGAGGATTGCATAGTGTAGTACAAAAAAGCGACATACAAGTAAATAATGATCAATGGTATTGCTACTTCCTCAAGGGTGGCACCCAGGCTAATGGAGTCACATTTATGGGGACTATAGAAAGTTCATGGAAAAGGGAACTGAAAAATTATTTCTTGGCACAAAAATTTGAAATCCATGCATAGTTTTTTATAATTTTTTATAATTTGCATTTGAAGACCTTTCATATATATTTTTAAAGATTTATTTATTTATTTGAAAGTCAGAGTTACAGAGAGAGGAGAGGCAGAGAGAGATGCTCCATCCACTGGTTCACTCCCCAGTTGGCTGTAATGTCCAGAGCTGCACCGATTCAAAGTTAGGAGCCAAGAGCTTCTTCCAGGTCTCCCATGTGGATGCAGGGGACCAAGGATTTGGGCCATCTTCCACTGCCTTCCCAGGCCATAGCAGAGAGCTGGATTGGAAATGGAGGAGCCAAGACTCGAACCAGCACCCAAATGGGGTGCCAGCACTTCAGGTGGTAGCTTTTAGCAGCTATGCGACAGTGCCGGCCCCGACCTTTCATATATTATTACCCCAAATCTTCAAAACAATTATTGTGGTAGGTTTGCTGTTATTCTCATTTTACGTGAGAGGAAATGAAGTGCCAGAGAAGTAGGATAAATTGATCATATACCACAGCAGAACTGAAGTTCAGGCTTAAATCCAGAGATAACCAAGGTTTTTAGGAGACTTCCTTTAAAAACAAGCGTGTGCTTCACATCCTTTAGACGGCTATGAAAAACGAAAACCATGAATAACCAAGTAAAAACCCACCAGAAAATAACAAATGTTGTCTATGAAGTGGACAAACTTGAAGCCTTAAGCATTTCTGTTGGGAATGTAAAATGGTGTAGCCACCATGGAGAATGATATGGCATTCCTTAGAATGTTAAACATGGGGTGGGTGTTTGGTGTAGTGATTAAAACACCACTTGGGATGTCTGGTTTTGACACTAGGCTCCATTCCTGATTCTAGTTTCCTGCCAACAGACACACTGGGAGGTTCAAGTATTTGGGTCCCTGCCATCCCTGTAGGAGGCCTTGATTGAGTTCCAGGATCCTGAATTTGGCCTGGCCCAGCCCTGGCTATTGAAAGCATTTGGAAAGTAAACCAGCAGATGGTAGGTCTCTGTCTGCCTATCTATCTGTCTCTCTTTTTCAAATAAAAAAAATAATTAACTAAAAAAGTAAACATAGAGCTACCATATTGTCCAGCAGTTCTGCTTTGCAGTATAAATCTGAAAGAAGGGAGAACAAGGTCTTCACAGATATTTGTGCACCTATATTTATAACACTAATATTCTTGATAACCAAAAGCTAGGAACAAAACATGTACATATTGACAGATTAATGGATAAACAAAATGTGGTAGATGCATACAGTAGAAACTTATTCAGTCTTTAAAGAAAAAAATACATTTGACAACACAAATCAACCATGAAGACACAATGCTAAGTGAAATAAGCAGACACAAAAGGACAAATATTGTATGATTCCATTTATATTAGGTAATTAGAATAGAGTCATAAGATAATGGTTACCAGAAGCTCAGGGAGGGAGGAATGGGGAGTTATTGCTTAACGGGTTAAGAATTTCAGTATAAGAAGATAAAGGAGTTCTGGAATAAACACAAGTGTTGGTTTCACAACAATGTCAATGCGTTTAATGCCATAGAACTAAATGTAAGTTAAAATGTTTAAAATTCTAATTTTACAACAAAAGACTTTTATAACTAATAATAAAAGTGAGTAAAATGAAAGTCTATTTAGGACAAGAAAAAAGCCATAATAAACATTAAAAATGTTAAACACACAAAAAAACATGAAATCAGAAAATAATAGAATATTTTATATTAACTAACTGCCTGACACCATTCTATCAATGCTCTATCTGCATTTCAGGTCCATGGAATCCTCAACTGTCTTCAAAAGGCAAAAAATTTATATCATTTTCTATAGAGAAAACAGAAAGATACCTTAGTCTTACTTTTGGCATGGTTGATTAATTTTTGTTATTATAGTGAGATGTAGAATACTTCATACACGTTTGAAGTATTGGTACAGACTTGTGCCTTAATACACAGGATTCATTAATTTTGTACACTTTCCTCCAAAAATTTAAATGCATGATGTTATTTTAATAGTAAATAAAACACCCTCAGATATATTCCTGAGGAGATAGAACTTCTGACTTGATTAGGTGTCCAATGAGAATCAGATTCTCTGCCTACAGTTTTACATACTTGTTGAAGTTATTTTCATGGATTAGTTCTGTCTCTGTACATTTCACAATCTGTTTAACAACTATACATTTCTGAAGCTGGATGCCATTAGGATACTTTCACATTTTGTTGTGACTGTGGCTGTACATATTTATTTTGGCACAATGGGTGCTACCCAGGATGGCTAGATTATTAACATACATAAATTACTGTGAATCAAATAAATACATACCATTAAAGCCAAACTAAAATTATTCTCTATTATACTTTCTGCATCTGAACCTCGAAAATGCCTGCAACCTCTATACCACCACGTAACACAGGAAATAAGATGCTGGGAAGTCAGAATAAAATGATAATAGACTTGATTGATTGAGGTTAAATATTTTTGTCAGTGTATGACTACATGAACATATTTCTAGGGCCCTACAGGAATCTTGGAAGAGGATCAAGCAAGTGAATGTTTCTAAAGCTTCAGTATCATTATGTTCACAAAACTCCAACTCTGATTAAGTTGATCTGAGTCCAATAATGTTGCTTCTTCTTGCTACTTTTCCACCTCAGATAATTATCAACTGCTGCAGTAAGAACAATGATCAAAACCCAACTAGACAGAATACAAAAGCAGCTCTGGCTGAGGAAGGGTCCACGGTGAAGAATTCACCTGTACCGGGACTGCACTGCTATATCATGTGTTTTATTGCCACTCTCAGAAAATTGACAGTGCCAGCTCTGTCCCACTACCACTTCTAATTCTGTCCCAATCAGCTGTCCTATATTACCTATGGTTCCATAGAAGAATTGTTTCTTTTTCTCTCTTTTTAAAAATAATAGTGATTACAATAAGTAGAACAAATGGAAACATTAGCACAAACGTTGGCATGAGGGAAACAATGAATAAAACAAGTAAAATCATCCCAAGAGACTTATGTGCTCTAAAGAAATTTGAATCTCCTTGAGGGAAACTTCAACAAGACAGATGAGCCATGACAGCAACTCTGAGAAACAGATATATTTTTATCCAGTTCTATAATCCTAGTTTTTAACATGGAGTATTTAGTCCAATTACTTGTAATGCTATTCTTATAGTTTTATAGCTATGATTTTGTCATTTTACTGATATTTTACTCTTTTTATGTTCTATGTATTTTCTTTTCTTTCTTTTGGATTCATCAAATACATTTTTCAGCATTTCGTGCATTACTTATTATATAATTCTTTCCATTATTCTCCTACAAAGTTAGATTATGTCATGCATGCCTGAGTTTACACATTTTAGTATGTCATTACTTTTATCATTTCCCAATACTGCTAGGATGCTATAATTAGGACACTATATACCACTATTTTTCTGAATCTGTATATATGAAATACATGAAATTTATATACCTTAAATAAAATTTAAAAAAGACTTATTGTAAAACATAATAACTTTACAAAAACTAGCTTTTACTATAAATCTTTTTTTTTTTTGAGGGCTTAGAAACATCATTTATTAGCTATGACAGGGAAGATGAACAGTAACCATTGTGAAATAGGATGAAAACCATCTTCTTATTTAAAGGCTTAAATGTGAATCGTTTAAATATATTCATTAAAAGATAAAGATTGACAAAGTGAGTATAATAACAATATTCGGCTACCTCTTGTCTTTTGGACATTCACTAAATATACTGATTCAGACAAGTTCAAATAAAGACTCTGTTAGTGGCCGTACACAACACACAGATGCTCAGCTAGATGAAAGGCAGAACATTTTGTTACTTACAGCTCCAAAGGGCAGAAGGCAGCCAGGCAGGGCCACACAGGGGAAGGTAGCTGAGGACCGAGTACAAGCAAACTCTAGTGGAAGGTAGTAACTTATATAGGCCAAGCAAGGTAGGGTGAGCTTATTTCGTAGGTTCCCCATTGATTGGCTGATTTGAATAATTTTGGAGGGATCTGGGACATGGAGGATGTAATAGTTGTTTGGGGTCTGGCCCTGTGATGATTAGGGCAGGTAAAGAGGGACTCCAAATGTGAAAGCCCGATAAGGGAAATGGTTGCAATGTGGACTTAATCAGCTACTCCAGAAGGGGAACTGAAAACTAGATCAAGACAGCACATAAAAAGGGAGGAAAACACATATAAAATATATAGTAATTGATATCTTTACATACATCAGCTTTTAGCTCAGTTATTTGGGGTATTTGAGTGGCCCAAAGATTTGAGATTTCTAGAGAATAGAGGATAGGGTCTGCAAAATTTTCCAGTGATAGAATAAATTGTGCACAGGAAACATGTTATTATGATAGTACAAAGAAAGGAACCAAGTAGAATCATGAAGGGTTCCTGAAGGCTGGCTTGTAACCAGAATCCCCATTTGTTTGATGTTAACAAGGAAAGTGAATTAGTTCTGACAAGGGCCTCCGGGAATCTTTTATTTGTACTACAGGTGTATTAAACAGATGAGTTATGTTTGTTTTTATCATATTATTTAGTGATCCAAGAGTTCTAATTGAGTGGTCATTTCATGATATTGTTGGCCTACATACAATAAGAAGCACTAATAACATAACAAACACATCATTAACTAGTCAATAGATAATTAAAAACAAATTTATGGTCAAATTTTTTTTTACCAGGGTTCCTTGGCCTTGATAAATCAGGCCTAATATCTGTTATACTTAAAAAAAATAAAAAGTATTTGGGTTCTGGACATTCGTAGATTATAGTCAATGATTTTTTGATGTTGAGTTATAGCAATGGTCCCTCTGACCATTACAGAAAGTCCTAGAGTACTGGGAAATTCTGATAGTATAGGCATTATTATGGCACATCAGTGGAATTTGGCAGAGACAGAGGAAAAATGATTAACATTTATATTTATGGGAAGGCCTAGAGAGGCCAGAATGCATCAATGTAGTTCCTGCTTGGAAGTAACAGAACAGGAAAATTGAGAAGACGAGAATTTTTGTTTTTTGTACCATAATGTAATTCTGTGATTTTATATTTTGATGAAAATTTATTTATTTGAAAAGGAGGGAGAGAATGAGAGAGAGAGAGAGGGAAGGAGGGAAAGGGAGAGAGAGAGGGAGGGAGGGAGAGGGAGAAGGGGGAGAGAGAGAGAGAGAGAGAGAGAGAGAGAGAGACTATCTTTGATTTACTGCTTCACTCCCTAAATGCCTGCACTGGCTGGGCCAGGCTGAAGTCAGGAGTCTGGAACTCAATCTAGGCGTCCCACATGGGAGGCAGGGACACAAGTACTTGAGCCATCATGAGCTGCTGCCCAGGATGCACATTAGCAGAAACTTGGATCTTCAGAAGGGAGTAGACAGGACTAAAGTCCACCCTCTCTGATATGGGATGTTGGCATTCATAATGCCAACTTAACTGCTTTGTCAAACACCTGCTCCTGGATGCTACTGTTTTTATTGGAAAACTGTATCTCACTGCAGGTTATCAGGAATTACTAAAGAATGGAATAAAAGGGAGACAGTGATTTTTCTTAAGTGTATGCAAGGGTAAAGAGCTGTTTATTGGGTAACTCACAGGAAACATGAAAGTCATTGTTACCCACCATAGGTTGAGGGGAGAAGATATAGGGAAGGTGACAATTTAGAAAAGGTTTTAATTTCCCAATATTTTTCATCCCTTGGGATAAAGCAATTGGGTAAACGTACGATGTAGGATATGTGGAAGCAGACTGATGGCAAATCCAACAGTTAAGAATAGTCAATGAGTTTGGATTCTACTTGCCATGTAGTCTTTTGAAGAGCAAGTTCAATAAAAGTTGTTAGGGTAGGAGCAACTTAAATGAAGGTTGGGATACTAAATATGAAGGAAAGAGAATGAAGGGAATGAATGACTGATCTAAGCAGTTGGAGGCCAGCAGAATTCTCCTGTAATACTTAGGAGAGGCCAGAGATGGAGATGTGGTAAGGTTACTCTGCAGCATTAGAGGTGAGTGGCAGTATCTTAGAAGCGTGAATCTTGAAAACATGGAGAAATTGGCCTTGGTCCCACAGGAGCCTAACCGAATGAGGTTGAATTACAATTATAGGGGGGAAGAACTCACAGTTTTTGAGTGTAAGAATATTACAGTGCAATGTTGAGCTGTGGTGTAAGCAGACTCCAATGCCTGGAAAGTCAGACAAGGTAGGTTCCACCAAACTTAACTCAGCAGTATAATGAATAACTGGAGAATCAACAGTCTGGAGTCTCTTGTGGATGTTGAAACTTTCAAAGTTCCAATGTAGTCAGAACTCCTGGCAGGAAGTCGAGAGGTAGTTTGGGAGGAGAAGTCATCTCTAACAATGAAGTATTAGCCTGGAATGATGGAGTGCCAGAGTATCTATCACACATAAATATTTGGGTTGCTCTGCATCATATTTTTTGTAGCTCTATGATCTTATATGATTCTGAATATTTGCTGTTGATGTAAATTAGTGTAAAAGATTTGAACCAAAGCCAATAAGTCCTGGGCTCTGGGTGACTCTCAGGGCTATAGTTGAGATCACATGTAAGGACTCAGTGTATTAATGGAATTTACAATTATTGGGATAAGATACTTGAAATTGTAACATTCTATAATCCTAAGTGCCATAGATGTAATATAAGGCATCTGGTCATTTTGAGGTAGCAGAGGTTTAGATGGAAGTTAATGAGCATTGAATTTAATGGAAGAGCTCATGGGAAGCTATGATGATTGCTTCTATTAGAGGCTAAAATTTGGAAATTCAGATGGAATTGTGGATTAGGATCTCTGAAGTGGTTATCATAAAAGTTTCCTCTCCCTGAAGTGATATGCATTAGCAGACTGTGTAAAAATGGTACTTTAGACAGACTGCAAATGTCTGAAGTAAAAGACTATTATTAGGAGAGATCTCTGTGTAGGTGTTGGTTAACCAGGTAAAGTCTTGAGAAAGCAAAGGCAATCCCATAGTTGAGAGGAAAAGAATGATTTGGAAAATGGCTGGTAAAATGCTGAAAGGCAGATGTTATTGTCATGTTTATTCCTTCAATGATTTATCAAGTTTCTATTATGTAACCATGTACCAAATGAGGTTCAGAGTTCATACTCCGTCTAAGATGACAGAGGTAGAAAAGCTGGAGCTAGGATTCAAGACAAGGTCTTCTGACTTTCCAGATACCATGTTCTTTCCTTCTATGAATGCTGGTGAAGGAGTTCTTGAATGAGATAGAAAATTGGACCAGATAGCTGACAGGCTTTGAGACTGTGTTCCATGAATAGCATTGCTCAAGTGCTTTGATTTGGTAAATAAGGCTTTGATGGCTTCTGGCACTCTCGGAGTGCTCACCCATGACATCTGTCTGTAGACACTTAAAAATGGAGCAGTTGTTCTTAAAAGTTTCTGAAATAACTGAGCAGTGAGTGTCAACTTCAAACACTCACAGAGAATGTTTTAATATCCTATTCTTATGTAAATGCCAGGACCAGGCTGGATGAAGGTCACTGGTCAGGACACAGGCTTGACATAGAGGATTTGACCTGGGCAATATTTGAACTCCATGGACAACTACACTTGTTAGGGGTAATGGCAATTGTGATGGTCTGGAATTGAGGCAGACATTCAAAGGAAGGAACAAGATCTTAGGCTGAGACTCCAGGAGTCAGAAATGTTATGAAAATATAGTTTTAAATTTACTTTGAGCCACAGATTGCAATCTCTTTTGTGAGAAATCAGATTGCTGTTTAATTTAACACCAAAAATGACTCATTCTAATAAACTCTCTATATTTTTAGTCATTTACATGTTTATTTATTAAAGGCAAAGAATATACCCAACAATATCCATCTTTATATGTTTATTGCATTTTAGAATACTGATATATTCTGAAAGAATATGTATGTACTCAAAGAAGCTTCTTCACACTTCTTCAAAGTTTTAACAGGAATGGATCAGCATGGTCAATATTTTTCAGAGGATGTAATATTCTTTCAAGGTAATAAAACAATGATTGACCCAATGGTCAAAAGGAAAGGGAACAATGAAAGATTTCACTTGAGGTAGCAGCTGTGAGAGAGCAAAGCTTGGCACATGAGTCCTTCTTTAGGAGGGCTACTGATAGAAATTTCTATAGTCTTTGAAACATGATGCTTAGAGAAGAGCCAGAACCTCTATTAAATCAAATGCAAAGAAAGGAAAGTTTATTAGGGAAGTGTGATGTGTTTTCTCCTACACATGCCAGGAACTCTCCTAACTCATAACACTACTTCCATCATTCCACGGCACTCCATTAGAAGACATTTTAATCATTATAATAAGATTTTTACTGCCAGATCCATTCTGTAAATGAAAAATATAATCCATAAATAGCTGGAAAGCAGTCATGTTGATTTCAAGCTCCTTTCTTTTAAAAATATCTTTTTTTGTGGTCAGTTAGCACTGTTTGAACTAATCAACTCTTTTATTCTCTAGAACCTGTTTTCATTATAGATGTGGGCAAAATCATAAAATTCATAAAAATAAGTAGGATAGAATTTTTTCTACCTCCTCAGCAAGGGAAGAGTAGGTGTTGGAAAGAAAGTAATGGGGATGTTTGAGAAACGTTTCCTTCATTTGAACTAAGTACCCATGCATTACACAAAATGCCAGACAGAGGAACTAATCAAAAGGCTATTGGGACACCTTAGATATTGGGACCAACTCTAGGTTTATTCTTGTGCTTTCATGACACCAGGGCTTTGATGCATTTAGAACAGCCTCTTCCTCAATAAACACTGACAAATTAGATAGTCCCATAACTCCATGTATGGTGTATAGTACACTCTATAAATGTGAATGTAATGTTTGCTAAGAAAAGTGCAATTTATTGCACATTGTTCCAGCAAATGATTACTTTTATAATTGTTAAAACTTGAATTGGATTAGTATCTTATTTTCATGTGCAAATGAAGCCTTATGAAA